TGCAATGGATATTACACCCAACGTGTGACAGATCTCTATGAATATAACGCTGAATTCAATAGATACCAAAAAGAGACCATTGGTTTGGCCAACAGTTATCAAACCATGGCGTTTGTTAACGGTATGTAAAATAAACATGATCAGTAATTCTTCAAATATTTAACAATGCCAAATACATTTCTACATAGGTAATATTTTGGAAGTACATATGGGCGATATAACTGAGGGTCGGTGCAAAGGTGACCACTTGTATATTCAAACCGTATACACAAACACCAACCTATTAGCCTGTGTTGACTATTCGCTCACAACTTTACACATAACCCAAATGAATGTCCAGATCACTGGCCCCTCGTGTGCCACCCAATGCTCTATTGACACAACAGCTACTAATTTGGTTACAGTAAAGCCCGGATACACTAATCACGGTTTAAATAAAATGTAACTTTCTAGATTTGATTGACGCAATGGACTATTATTATGCTTAAAATTAGCACTAAAATTCTGAATACTTGTATTTTATGTAATGATTTTGTTTTCATTGATATTTTACAATAAATAAAATTTTGCGCAAATATTTGATTTGAATGATTTACAATGGAGCTAGATATTATATTGATAGTTTTAAACTGTAATTATAATTTTTAATTTTATGATGCCTTTATAGGATTTTTTATCAGAATTTATTTTGGTTAATTAAAACTTTTATTTTAATATTTATATATAAATGTGGATATTATATTATGCTCATGATAATCACTTTTCTAAACTCGTGTTTTCTAAATACCAACTTTATAAAATTATCATTGAATAATAATGTAATAGAAAAGTAACTATTTATTATTATAGTAATCATTTTAGTTGAGATCTAATAAAAATAAAACATGTTACTACATTCATACTTTATTATAGTTAGTTACAGTTAACAAAATATTGAATTGAAAGTTATTTAAGTTTGCTAATTAGTAAAACTCTAATTATCTAATTACTATGTGAAATGACAATTAAATATAAAGTTTATAAATTTTAGCATTTAAAAACAATTTAAGTCCGTGGTACTATTGAAATAATTTTTATATAAATTGTTTATTTACATAATCATTTTACATGATTTGTTAAAATGCCTAAAAGTTGCATCGAGAACATTTTTGATGATATATTTTATAACATAAAATTCTTATTATAACTATAATTTTATACAAAATAATAGTGATTATCATAAATAATGTACGTATTGTTAAACAACTAAATTAAACCTTTTTGAGATATATTGAATCAAACAAAGTGCACTAATTAAAATTTTATTTATTACAATAAAAACCATAATAGCAACACATATTTTGAACAAATATAACGTTTTTTCAATAATCTGTATTGGTTATATTGCAACAAAATTATAAATTACAGTTTAGTAAACATAATATAAAATTATAATTTCTATATAAGTTAGCTAATCGAATTAGATGACAAAATAATTGTTAGCGTTAAATTAACAATATACACATATTCACAAATTAATTCAATCAAAATACAACCATGAACAATTAAAATTCTAATTAATTTGTGTGAGTATTTACACTTAAGTCTTTATACGGACCGGGAGTTACCATATTTAAAGGCTGGGCACAACTATTAGACTTGTTTATCATACGCTTTCTGACCCTTTCGTTATAAACAGATACGGTATTCCAGTTAAGCCCTACCAGTGCTGAACATTAAAAGACCATTAAGTATTTGCTTAACTTGACCGATGCTGTGAGTACTGCTAAAGTTATATTTGTCTGTAATTACACATTTATATACTGTATTTTTAAAATTATTTTATATTAGGGTAATATTATATTCAAATATCAACAATTACTGAATCATCGCCGAATCGGTCAGATATTTTATTTTAATCTAGTTTTTACTAGTAATTCGCTAATCTATAGTCAATTTTAATAATATAAATCCTACCTCTTTACAATTTACAATACATAAATTATTTATTTTTACTTTAATGTTTGGCAAAATAATTATAAATAAACAAAAAATAATTTAATTGTTATTTAATATTACAATTATATTTGTGAAATGTTTTGTTTATAATGTGTTTGTGATAATAGCATAGGTGCAAATTTTGAGACACAATGTTAATGAGAATTTATTTTCACGGTTAATTTTTATTTGTTAAATATAATACAGTATAAACAATTATTGTAATTATACCGGTAGTAATAAATACAGTATAGCAATAAATACTATTTTAACATACGAAAATATTATAATTATTTTAAAATTATAAAACCAATTATATTAGTATTATTATAGTTAATAGTATTATTTATTTAACACTAAATAAAATATCTTAAAATACTAATTACTAATTTAACACTATTTTTAAATGTGATTTAAATTTTCTATATATTTTGTATTTATGATTGATTATTGCAAATTAACATTATTTTAATTATAGTAATTAAGATAGCCTGTAGACTGGGCGGTCACTAACTATTACTATTAGCCCCCATTTCAGTCTAAACAATGTCAAAGGAGTTAAATTGTTTGCCAATATTTAAATTCAGTAATAATTAACACCGATCAGAAATATTATTACTTACATTTATTAACAAAATGTAATTGATTTAAATAATATGAAACTTAATTTCTCGTTTATATTCATAACAAATTTATTATATTGTTTATTATTCCGTGATAAAAATACTTGATTATAGGATAACATTTATTAAGTTTTTAGACAAAAGATTTTAATTAAAATAAATTGCTATTTATCAAAGCAAAATAAATTATAGTACATTTTTATTAAAAGTTTACCATTTACTATTTTATAAATTAAATTATGTTATAATAATTTAATAATAATTCAATCTAAATATAGTATTTAAAACATGATTTCGTCGTAACAATTATCAATAAATAAATAAAATATCTACTAATTAATAATACCGTACTTAAAATAAAAATTTATATTAATTTGATGTAATACATAATAAATATGTTTTTTACATAATATATCATTAAAATGTGATGTTTAATAAATATTAATAATTTATAAACTATATATCAATATGAAAATTGAAGTTTATTAAATACAATTCTTATTTAACCAAATAAGTTGTAAATTTGTAAAAACAACCCAGCCAAAAAAGTAACATAATTTCAATTTCAACGACAAGTTCATTGAATAAAAACATTATTATTATAAAAAAAAATTTAAAATAAATAAAATAAAATATTGTTATTGTTACCAAAACTATTTTGTCTATATACTGTTTTATATATAATTATTTTTGTTAATTTTAAAATACAGTTTATAAAATTATGTATTTAAATACCTTTTATTCATTTATAATATTATAATCCTTTGTAATCATATTTTGTAAAATACTAAAATAGCTGTATTTGAGAACAGGGATTCAGCAGCTCTTATAATTCACACAAATTTCGTATATATAAACTTATAAATTAATGCTAAAAGGTTGTAAAAACAAGCTATCTACTGTAGATAGCTTGTTTTTAGCATTAATTTATAAGTTTATATATACAAAATTTGTGTGAATTATAAGAGCTGCTGAATCCCTGTTATAAGTTATAATTTATAACCAGTTGCTCATTTTTAAATGAATAGTCTATATTTATACTTGTGCCTGCTAAGTATAGATTTTTATTATAATTTATATATCGTTTATTATGTTTATTATTATGTTTACCGATGTGTTAATGAATTAGCAATAATCTAATGTAAATGTTAATATAAAATTTTATATTATTTCATATTTTTATATAAGTTTTAAATTAAATGCTACAAATTACTTAAAAAAACACGTGCTTTTCTGACCAAATACTGGCCAATATCATAGAAGGCCAGTATGTTTAGACCAAACCATAGGCCCGACACACCGCCAATAATGCCCATATACTCGGACAACTCCATACGGGGTGAGTGCACGTACCGAGTGACTGTGTTGGTGGGTATATTAAATTGTATATTGAACGATTTTTCATTGCTATTGTTATCTCTCTCATGATTACTAATTACATTCATAGTGTAGTACACGGAGTGACAGTCGGGTCTACGGCCGACCCGTTGGGCGCAGTGATCGGCTATTTGTTTATCAACCGTACGAAGGGGGAGGGGGCCTAACGATCCTATAAATCACATTATTTATAGCTGAATTGTGGTTAAAACATACCCTTTTCGCTAAGCCGACGTTTGATAGTCTTGTCGCTTATGTTTGCGATGTTTTGATTAGTGGCCAATCCGGGAAGTTGTCGCAAATCAGTTATGTCTTCCCATTTGTTCCCGAGTGCCACAGCTCTAAGGGTCTCGTCGTCATCATTGGTGGTCTTTCGATGTGTTCCAGCATTTCGTAGAAGAGTCAGGAACTGCTCTTCATTGTCATCAATCCGTTCCCAGTCTTTGAAAGTATTTTCACTGATTCCTAATAATAGACATTAAAATTCAATAAAATAAATAATATAAATAAATTTTATAATACTTACCGACGTCTCGTTTGATTCGACTTTTTGGCTCTCCTTTGGCTCTCATTTTGATAAAAATCCGAAATTTAAACTCTCTTTCTTTGTCTGTGAAACCCATTGTTTATTAAATTTAACCAAAATTTAATTAAATATACAATTGTTGACAAAACCCAAACGACGGACACATGTGTAAATGTAAACAATGATCCGTTCAAAAACTACGTTACGAATTATTTTAATTTCTATTCAGAAATTAAAATAATTTTGTATTATTTTCTATGGAAATTTTGAGAAATATTACTTTTTTATAAACTAAAATTACGCAACAATTATAATAGTTACAAAAATAATCTCAATTAGTAAATTGGTCTCCATTATCTACAGAATAATTCTGTGAAGACCGCTTTTTGATTGAACCATCGAGAGAGAAGTTATTCAATAAAAACAAAATCAGATTATTCTGTCTTTACGTGTATGTGCATTCATTATATTTATAATTAAATATTGTGATTATCAAGTATTACTAAAATACACAAACTATGTTAGTCAACAAGTTTACTAACTTCATCGCCCGAGCCATTGTATGCCTGGCGTTACTGATTGGTTGCATTTGGCATATCGTCGATATCAGTGTCATATACTTTCGGTATAATTATTTTTTTAAATAAAATTACATTAACCTTAATGTTACCCTGAAATTTTAAATAGCATTAAGATTTTATATAAATTCTATTGTAATATGGTAAACTGAAGTTTTAAGTATTAATTTTAATTACATATAGTAATTATTATAACAATATTGTAACTATGATTTATTGATTAATCTTTATAAACTCAAACTTGTTCAATTTCACACAGTTAGGAATATAATTTGTGGTGTGTGAAATTATATTGAGACAAACACGATGAAATTAGTATAATGTATAACTAAATTTTACAATAGATTTATTAAAAATAAAGTTAAAATTTTAGTCAAATATTAATAATATTAAATGTTTTTTATACAATTTTTAATATCAAAAGTAAAAACTTATTTTACCAACATTAGTTACGAGACGACAGTATCTACAGTGCTTGAGACGGCGCAGGTGATAGAGTTGCCGGCAATCACTCTATGCACTCGTGTTCATTACGTAACAGATTGGGAGTATTTACGGCGCCGGTACCCAAACGATACGGCATTGGCAAACATAACCGATCAAAACAAATGGCGATATAATCAATACCTCTATAACCTAACACTGGAGGAGCAGCTGTTGAACGGCACGATCGGCGCCAACCGGTTCTTTGACCAGTGCGAAGTACTCACACCCCGGGCCCTGTCGTCACCGGCCCATTATATGGACTGCGCTCGGGTGGCACCGGTGGTCGAGTCAATAAACGAAGCATTCAAATGTTTTACCTTCTTTAGCCAAAACGTAAGCCAATTGTCGGACAACGATCGGTACCGCGTGGACCACGACGTGATGTTTCGCGATAATGACTTTACCCTCACCAGGTCTATAATGCACACCCGGTACTTAAAAGACCTGAGCATTTATATGCACGACCGGCGGGAGCCGTTTGTGGGCCCCACTGTTGGTCAGACGACATACATGAAAATTAATCACCGACATTATTTCCAAGTCGGCTATTCCTACAAAGAGATCTATGTTAAACAACTGCCCCCACCCTATTGGACGCAATGCGTCGATTACCCGCTACTCGGGTATCGGTCACATAAACAACGCGTTAGCAAATGTCGAGCCAAGTATTACCGTGATCAATTTGCCAGTTGGCATCCAAAAATGCTTTATAACAACGAATATTATGGAAAGTTAAGTTTTGATAGGACTAGTATAACATCAAATCGTACGGCTGATAAACAAATAGCCGCCGACTGCGCGAACCGGATCGGCCGTAGGCCCGACTGTCACTCCGTGTACTACACTATGAATAAAAGTTTTGATAGTGAAAAACATAACACGAGTAAAGAAGAGCATGTAAAATTCTATGTATATATTAAAATGCCCACCAACACAATCACCCGGTACGTGCACTCACCCCGTATGGAGTTATCCCAGTATATGGGCATTATTGGCGGTGTGTCGGGCCTGTGGTTTGGCCTAAACATACTGGCCTTCTATGATATTGGCCAGTATTTGGTGAGAAAGGCACGTGCACTTTTTAAGTAATTTGTAGCATTGACTATTAAATTTAATATTACATGTGTTTTCTAACCAAATACTAAATACTAATCAATATTTAAATTAATTATAAACACAATATAATTATAGTATAAAAAACATATGAATTAAACAATAATTTTTTTATGCTAAAATTATTGATTATTTATTTCTTCTAGAGTAGAATAAATATGAATTAGTTAAAGTTATATCAGTTTATCTCCTTAAACATTGAATAAACGGGCATTAGCATTGTATTCCCTCATTATTTTTTAATTATTGTTAATTATTGAACAGTATAGTAAAAATAATTAATTTATGGTAATGCCCATTCATTCAATGTTTAAGGAGATAAACTGATATAACTTTAACTAATTCATATGGTAAAAACAGATATTTATATTTGAATACACTTTTTGTAAAATATTGTACATATAAACTTGATAAAACATTCATACCAGTAATCATATAATATTTTACCATAATATGCATATTTATTGATAAAAAAGTCGCTAATTTTTTAAAATAATTATTATATAAAGTTGATTTATATTTAAATTAATTTTTGAATATAATTTCAAGGTTTGATATTATGTTTTTTACTTATTATAATATAATTATTGATTGTTTATTACGTATTCCGTTTATTATGTCTGGTGTCTTGAAGCTACTAGCAAATGAAAAATTTATTGAACACCAAGGTTAACTTGCTTATTAAGTAATTAAAATTAACATCATTATCTATTACAAACCAGTTGCTCATTTATAATTAAATAGTTTATATTAACACTTTTGCATTGAATCAAGCATAATAATTTTTGATTATAATTTATAAGCCGTTTATAATAATATTAATTTACATGTGTATTTACCATCAATACCCCAATGCGAATTATTTTGTAAATTTGAAATTAAATATTAAGTAATTAGCGAGTGTTATTAAAATACTTATAATAAAAAAGGCACCCTATAATTTGGTAAGCAAAATATACAACTGACACCAACTATGTTAATCAACCATGTTAATAAATTCGTCGCCCGTGCCATCGTATGCCTGGCTTTACTGATTGGTTGCATTTGGCATATCGTCGATATTAGTGTCATATACTTTCGGTATAATTATTTGTTAAGTAAATAATATTAGCTTAATGTTAACTCATATACTAATGAAAATTAACCAGTAAGATTGTATATAAATTCTATTTATCTTTTACCGTAATATGGTTATATTATATAACTTATATAAAACTTGAGTAATTTTTTACTTTAAATAAAATAATATATAATAATTGTGTAAAATAATTTAACAATAGTAGAACACTTGGAAATAGTTGACAACACTTTCTGTGTATTGAGACAAATATAATGAAATTAGAATAATATATAAATAAATTTCACAATAATTGGTATTAAATATAAATTTTACTCAAATATTATTAATATTAAGTGTTAAAACTTGTTTTGTCAACCCTAGTTACGAGACGACAGTATCCGTAGTGCTTGAGACGGCACAGGTGATAGAGCTGCCGGCAATCACGCTATGCACGGATGTTAATTACGTAACAGACTGGGAGTATTTACGGCACCGGTACCCAAACAACACGGCACTGGCAAACATCACGGGCACCGAACAAAACAAATGGGCATTCAATTCATATCTCTATAACCTAACAGTGGAGGAACAGCTGTTGTACGGCACGTACGGCGCCAGCGGGTTCCTCAAATTTTGCACAGTTTTGACCCCCCGAGGCATGTCATCATCGTATAAGGGCTACCAGTATATAAGCTGCAAACAGGTAGCACCGGTGGTCGAGTCAATAAACCACCGCATAAAATGTTTTACCGTATTCAGCCAAAACGTAAGCCAAATGGCGGACAACGATCGGTACCGCGTGGACCACGACGTGACGTTTCGCGATAACGCTTTTAGCGTAATTTATTTTGTACTCGAAACCTATGCCTTACACGAACTGACCATTTATATGCACGACCGGCGGGAGCCGTTTGTGGGCCCCATGGGCGGCCAGACGACCTACATGGATCTCAATCATCGACATTATGATAAATTCGACTTTTCCTACAAAGAGCTCAATGTTGAACAACTGCCCCCACCGTATCGGACCCAATGCGCTGACTACCCGCTACTCGGGTATCGATCATATAAGCAACGCGTTAGCCAATGTCGAGCCGAGTATTACCGCGATCAATTTGCCGGCTGGCAGGGAGACATGATCTACAACACTGAATATTATGGAAAGTTGAGTTTTGAGACAAATGGTATTAATGGAAATCGTACGGTTGATAAACAAATAGCCGATCACTGCGCCCAACGGGTCGGCCGTAGACCCGACTGTCACTCCGTGTACTACACTATGAATGTAATTAGTAATCATGAGAGAGATAACAATAGCAATGAAGAATCGTTCAATATACAATTTAATATACCCACCAACACAATCACCCGTTACGTGCACTCACCCCGTATGGAGCTGTCCGAGTATATGGGCATTATTGGCGGTGTGTCGGGCCTGTGGTTTGGCCTAAACATACTGGCCTTCTATGATATTGGCCAGTATTTGGTCAGAAAAGCACGTGTTCTTTTAAGTAATTTGTAAATAGGGCTAAAATATTAACTTTATATTTAATACATTAAAGTTATTGTAAAATTGATTTGTCCAATATTGTAATTTCATTATATTTGTCTCAATATAAAGTGATTAACTATGACTATTTTATTTATTTTGGTTACTATAATATTGTAGCAATATATAACATAGTTATTAGGACATATAACTGTTTATGATCAAAAGTTAATGCTTAATTTACTATATAAAACAAAATTTATATATAATCTCTTATATAAAAGGTTAATATTCTTAACAAATACTTATACCGGAAATATATGACACTGACATTCACAATATGCCAAATGCAACCAATCAGTAACGCCAGGCATACGATGGCACGGGCGACGAATTTATTAATCTTGTCCACAAACATAGTTAGTGTTAAGCGTATACTTTACTTTTGAAATTATACGGTAGGTATTTTATTATAATAATTATTTAAATAATATTATATAATAATGTAATATTTAATTAAAAATTAATTCGTAAATGTTTTTATTGATAGTAAATTCATTGAATGTAAATACACATCGGTAATTAAATTATTTAAAAAGTGCACGTGCCTTTCGCACCAAATACTGGCCAATATCATAAAAGGCCAGTATGTTTAGGCCAAACCATAGGCCCGACACACCGCCAATATAACCCATATACTCAGCCAACTCCATACGGGGTGAGTGCACATACCGGGTGATTGTGCCGGCGGGCATATTAAACGATACATAGGAATAAGCTGAATCATTACTATTGTTGACTCTCTGATGGCTATAAACTTTATTCATAGTGTAGTACACGGAGTGACAGTCGGGCCTACGGCCGATCTGGTGGGCGCAGTCAGCGGCTAATTGTTTATCCACCGTCCTATTGTTTGTTAAACTAATATCCGTATAATTTAGTTTACCATAATATTCATTGCGATAGATCATGTCCGGCTGCCAGCCGGCAAAATGATCACGGTAATACTTGGCTCGACATTGGCCCACGCGGTGCGTATGGGACCTAAAACCGAGTAGTGGGTAGTCGACACATTGGGTCTGATACGGTGAGGGTAATTGTTTAATATCGATCACTTTGTACGAAAAAATGTTATTAATATAATGTTGATAATCCACATCCATGTAGGTCAACTGTCCGCCAATATTGCCCACAAACGGCTCCCGCCGGTCGTGCATATAAATGGTTACCTCCTGTAAATACCGGACGTTTAGTCCGAACCAAATCAGGGCAAAAGCGCTGTCCCGAAACATCACGTCGTGGTCCACGCGGTACTTATCGTTGTCCGCCAATTGGCTCAGGTTTTGACTAAACATGGTAAAACATTTGGATTGTATGCTAATTGATTGGACGACCGGTGCTATCAGGTCGCAGTCAATCCACGTGTCCGATAACGACATGGCCCGGGGTATGAGGACTTTGCATTCGTTAAAGAACCGGTTGGCGCCGATCGTGCCGTTCAACAGTTGCTCCTCCAGTGTTAGATTTGACAGATATTGGTTGTATTGCCATTTGTTTTCATTGGTGTCGGTTATGTTTGCCAGTGCCGTGTCGTTTGGGTACCGGTGCCGCAAATAGTCGGCGTCGATCGCGTAGCTAACATTAGTGCATATAGTGAATGAGGGCAACTCAATTACCTGCGCCTTCTCGAGCACTACGGATACTGTCGTCTCGTACCTATTGTTGACAAAACAATATTTACTTTTTGATCTTAATTGTTTTTATGTGTTGACAAACAATTAATCTATTATTTTTTATATTAGAGGTTGTAAATAATTTTTTCACTATTGTTCATATTAAACTTAAATTTTGACTTTTTATTTATAAGCGTATTGCAAAATTTTCTTGAAATATTCATGTTAATTATAATAGCAAATACTTTGTATTTATCTAGATATACAAATGATTTACTATTTGTACAGTACTGTATTAATTTTAGTTACTTTTATCATTATGTGTTATATTGTATTGATTAAATTAATATCGGTAATATCTAAAGGTTAATATTTACAAGTAAGGTGTATAGTCAACAAATACTCGTACCGGAAGTATATGACACTGACATTCACAATATGCCAAATGCAACCAATCAGTAACGCCAGACATACAATGGCGCGGACGACCAAGTTATTGATTTTGTCAACTAACATAGTTGGTGTTATTGCTTGTTGTTCAAATTAGTCAGTTGGCATTTAATTATTTAGATAATGTTTTGTAATAAGATAATATTAAATTACAAATTAATTTGTATTTGTTTTAATTATTGCGTCAACTTATTGAGATGAAATATAATTACTTAAACTACCGTAAAATCTTGTGCATTACCCGCACTCATGTATAACCCGCACTTAAATTAAATTAAGTTAAATTAAAGAAATAATTAGTCAAACCTACCCTAATCAAGCCTAAACTAACTCATATTGACTTAATAAATAATATTAAGTCATTTAATGTTTAGAAGAAATTAAAATAATTGTTTTTGAACAAAAATATTTCAAAAAAGTAACCCGCACATGAAGATTTCTCCAAAAATTTCACTTTTTTCCTTGTATAACCCGCGGGTAATGCACAAGATTTTACGGTAATAATATTATACAACAATTTGTTATTTATAAAAATGGTTGTGGTTAATTCAAGGCAAAGTTTTTAATCGAGTTTTAATATAAACATGTTATTTAAATATCTGCAACTAGTTTATAGTGTATTGGTATATTAATATCGATTTAATGATCAAGTTATCCCTGAAATCACGTTTGTAACTTAAATAATATAGAACAAAAAATATATTAACAATTAATAACAAAACAAAATATTAAAACCGTATAATTATTTACAAAAAAATTAATTATAATTTTGAATACATAATAATATTTACACCATTTCTCTAGTGATTAATACAAATGACGATTGGTATTGTTTGTTAGAAATTTTATATTTTGCAGATTTAATCGTATCTGCTTCATTTAAATCTATTTTCAATATTGGTTTAATAAGTTTAATTTATATATGAAAGGCAGCTAGCAAAATCACTGTATTTTTCAATAAATTTTATAAAATACATTGAAATGAATCATAATTCGTGATATATCAAATTAGTCGAATAATTTTTATTATAATAAATTAGCATATTTATCATAGCATTACATTATGATTACTTAAATCTTAAGCTTAAAATCGACTAATCCATTGTATTCTCAATAATCCAATCAATATAATGACTAATCCGTGTGTAGACGACCACTGAATCGTCCCAACAACAGTCCATAACACACGAGACCAGACCAATGAGTCGCCACCGGTTGGCCATCGGTTCCCATTGGATGAGTGGACCGCCTGATAGGCCCCGACACCAACGCTTACCATCGGTCAGACCGCCAGCACAGAGAATACTATCCGTATTATTATTCAAATAACTTAGACTTTGATCGCAGGCCGTGTTATTCCACACCCGGACCGACACATCCATG